TACCCTCCCACATCCACATCCTCACCCTACTCCACCCACACTCACGCCAACACCCACACCACACCTACACCATACCCTGCACCCAAACCCACCCAGCTACACTCACAGCGACACCCACACCCACACCCTTTTCCTTCTTATTGTTCCACACTATGCCAGATTTTCACTAACAGAACAAGTCTCTGATATCAAACCAAGCTCTCTTGTAATAGAATTTGTTCATCTTTTGCTTCCATCTCATTTCAACTTTTCTCTCTCAGGCTAACTATTGATCAATAGAGTCTTAAGTTTTAGTTGAATTTCTTCGTATTATTTTAACTTTTTAATCTTAGAGTAAACTCTTAAACAATAGAGGAATATTTTTCAGTTCAAATGTTTCGTCTTCTCGGTTCATCTAATTTCAGTTCTCAACTCTTGATATAAGTGCAATTAATAGATATAGCTCTTCTCTTTAAATTTTTCGTCGTTTTATTTCACCTTCTTTCGCTTTTCGACTATCAGAATAAGTCCGAATTAATATAAAAACATCTTTTATATTGAAATTGTTTTTCCCATCCTATTTCAATTGTCATTCTGTAAATTAGTTCTCGATCAATGTATTTGAATCTTTTATTTAAATTTCTTTATGTTTTTTTGTTCATCTTGTTTCAGTTCTTAACTGTGGGAATAAGTCTATATCATAAGAGAAAATAACTTTCATTTTACTTTAATTCTAGAAAAATATGCTTTATTTCAATTTCTTCGTCGTCTCCTACGATTAAATATATACTTTCAAGTGTGCGAATAAGTTGCGATTGAAACATACCAATGTTTCATTAACATGGTCTTGTTCTTTCGTTTGATTGACAATTATTTCGAATATATGAGAAGATATGCTTTAAATAGATAAATACTGTTGAATCGGGAAACAAGTCAAGCCCTCCACCTCGTGGTGTTTTCTGGATAACGCTAACGGGCCTCTGCAAACGTCCCATGATGAACACAACCTATGGAACTCGTATCTTTCCCGGAAATGGGATACCGGGGCCTGTCCCTGGTGTCGACCTGGGGACAGAGCAATGCGAACGTCTGATGGTCAATCAAGTATTGGAACTCGTAGATCGACCTGATCTAATCCGAAAAAGTTACGGATACCGACAACCAATTACCAACAAGAAGCTTGCAATCGTCTCGCCAACCATCCTAGCGTACCTGTGGGGAGGGCGTGATACCCCAAGAACATGTTCAGTACAAACAAGCATCGAAAGCGACAACGGCAATATCAGGCAATCGATATTCGTACATGGAACGTTATATCTTTAATTGGTAAGGAAATGGACGCGACTGAAGAAGCACAAAAGTATCGTTTATACATACTTGGCATATAATCACTTGTGCTCAAGCTGAAGAAGAATAAATAACCCGCGTTTCGGCTACCTTCTAGTAAAGGGTGATGTCCAAGGACATTTTCATAAGCCCGACATTCTTCCTACAACCATTTCTAGTTGTAGCTCTCGACAGAAGGCCGGCCTGACTCAGAGTTCCTTTCGCTTAATCACTTAAGCTCCCCATACATACTGACTAACCACATACAAGCTACAAGAGCTATATTGTATGTCATCACGTAATCAGCATGCTATCGGATGGGTGGTTCGAGACAAATAGCCGTTAGTGACTTGTCCAAGGTCATTTCATAGCTGATGATATCGAAGTTTGAACACAGTACCTTGTGAATACGTATCGAACAACATAACCACTCAGCCATGGCGACGTGCACAAGCTGGTGTTGCAATACTGGTAAATCCACGACTATTTCAAAATAACAGTCAATAATGCCTACTCATCTTGCTCCAGTCTGTGCTTCTCTCTCTTTTCGCTTCCAAGATGTGATGTGCGTTAGGTTCAATACGAAATATTGTTGAGCTATTTCACGCTCCTTTTTTCGTTTGATTCACGCTTTTCTACGTCCTTTGATGTACTGTTGAGCAGATTTAAGAGGTAAGCAAAAGTTGCCCTACATCCCTATGTCTACTCTTAAGCTGATTTTTGAGGGTGAGATAAGGTTTTATACACCCACCTTAAAATTTATGAGCTCTTCCTGAGATTCCATATACTCTTTTATCTACCGTAGACGTCGTTTGTGAACTAGATATACCTGATTATAAACCTCGCCATGAATGGTAATGACCGTTGGTCGTATTCATTAATGCTCTTATATACGGTTCGCTCAGTCTAATGGTTGGGTATATAATCAGGAAATACCTTCCTAAATGGATTGTTTCAGAATTTTACGAAGGGATTCATGGATTCCATAAACGTTCTCGGCAGGTTTTATGAAATTGCAACGTATAACAATTCCTTTAATCCCTTCACCGTTAACGACGAGTAGTATACTAGTCAGAGCAATTTTATGGAAAAGATGACTACTATAATTCCTTAATTCTGTTTTCTTTGTGTGCTATGAGTCTGCTCTAGCATCCTGCACTTACTGTCACTAGCTCCACGGATTCTGATATTTTATATGGACTAAATTCTTCGCTCTTGAAAATGTGTAATAGGAAAAGAAAAGATCAATATCAGCTTATTGATTGGTATAAACGACATGTGCTACAACAGAGTTATGTTGTGTCGTCTATATGTGTTTGTTCTCTTTCATTTCGTGCATATGTGTATATACATACTTTGTCCGGTGAAGTCATTTCTTTCGTTCTCTTTCTTTTTGCGAAGTTATTTCCTCATATTGTTCTCGTTCGATTTTTTCTCATATTTCATGTGATTCTGTCATAACGCGTCTTTTCAACGTTCGAAGCCACATTTCTAAAATTCTAAACACTAAAAGATAGCGTTACCCTATGTGAAGACCTCACTAGTCTCTGCTAAACCGAACATTTTCTGTTCCAATAAACTATGTTTTAGCGATAAGTGTTAGGCACACTGAAAGGCTCTTTGCCATTATAATTTAAGTCTATACTATCTTAAACTTTAGTATTTCTCCAGATCTGGACGTAGACCCGACCTCTTTCGAGCTAAGCATTTTTTATCCATCTGTATCAAACAGTAAATTTTTCTAATATTTTGTTTTCAGCTGTTTCTTTGCAACAAAGTTTTAGTTAAATGAAACTCTTTCATACATTTCATCGAATATCTAAATAAAAACATAATCAACACAACAAAAAGCTCTAAAAAATCTACACGTTTACTATTCATATGTTATAGTTTTCTTCTAAAAACACACCGAATAATAACGAAATGCTAATTTATTTTCATTAATCACTTAAAATAAATGCATCTTTCATGTTTCTAGAACAGATTTTTAAGTTTAGTTTTGGAGCTATCAGTATCATTTCTCGTGATTTCAATCAAAATTACTTTTTTCGTTTTTTTCCTTTATAAGTGTAATAAAATCTTCAGCTGATCGACACACTTCTCCCGCCAGTATAGCTGTCTACCAGAGAACTGCGTAACCATGATTTTTAGTCACAGTCACGAAGATTTTTTAAAACTAGTCATATTTTAAGCTGGAAACATTTCTAACCATGACACGAGAGACAGATCAGGTGAGTTTAAGCAATTTCTGCATCTAATACATCAATACAAATGAGAATGATGTTAATAATGAATATTTATTTTTGAAAAAGCTTAGATCAGATATTGAAGATGCTTATGATTTCTTGCGTGAAGAATATGAGAAATAAAAAAGATGATTAAAAAGTAAAGTTGTAATTTATGTTTATTTTGTATTTTATATGCTTACATATTGTTTGTTTTGCTGATTCAAATGTAGATTTACTGTATAATATGAACCTAGTAATAAGCTTCATTTTTGTAAAATTTCTCGAATAAATTATGAACCAGATATGTTATTTTCGGCTTTTTCTCATTTCTTAAATAATATTGGTCATAATCATTTTCGAATGAAACATTATGACGACTGTTTTTCAATTTCATTGAATAATTAAATAGAATTTTCATAGAATTTTAGTGTTGTTTCAATATTTATTATCATTTCATTCAGTTTCTCATCCAAGACAAATAGACAATCAATAAAATATACATGAACAATAGTAAAAAATGATAGACACTATAAATATGTACGTTATAGGAAAAGCAATATAGAAACATTTTCTTTTTCCTGAATGAATATCTCAGATTTTTCCACTGCTTTTGACTTTTTAAAACTTTCAGCAGGTGATTTATCAGATGATTGATCAAGTTTACGTTTTCTGTAGTTCGTTGAGATTCATGTAAATCTGAATCAAATAATGTTTTAAGAACATTAAGATTTTTCTGTTTCTAGTCGAGTATGCTTATCTGTTATAGTGTTTTTAGGAATAGAAGAACAAGTCTTTCGACAGTAATATTTAAATGAAAAACATGAGACTTAAATGGTGAATGTGCAAAATAATTTTTTAAAACTTCGTGATCTGTGAACATCACAGGGTAAATTACTCACGAATTCAAAAAATCATACAGATGTGCACGGTTTAGCATATTTTCAAATAATTTTTTAACCAGCATATGAGGATGCATAATTAAAAATATTAAAATCGATTACTGAGTCTCATTGTTTCTGAAATCGTCGTAGTAAAAAGTTCTATACTTATTATGCTATTCATCATTTATAAATTATGCTAACATTTCTCTTTTGAGGCCTATGGGGAAAAACAAAACATGCTACAAGAGTCAGCTCGTTGAGCTCTACAAACCGAGATATATCCCATTAAAACCTGAGGTTCACACTTGGAGACCTCCCCTCGTGAGTCTGTCAGTTACTTCATCAAAATGTGTAAGATAATCACAAAGTTGATTTAATTATTTTCTATCGATAAAAGAATAAGAAACAAGATGATTTGTATTTAGTGATTGTAGTATTTCTTCAAAAACTTTATTGTAAATATAAAACATATAAAAGACGTCATTAAACCTAGTTTTAGAAAAAATTTGTAATTTTTTATTAATTTATTTTGTCGATGAGAACGTCGAATGTATTCGACACTTTCTTTGATCAAATGAAACAGTTTTTAAGCTTCTTCAACTTCAAGATTATTTGCACCTGTAAATGTTTTTTCGAATATTTTGTTCAGATAATGATCAGAACATCCAATACGATTTGAATCATTAAATGGTAAGCCATATTCTTTAAGGATAGAATTGACAAATCTTCGAACATTCACACTTGTTTGACTTTCAAGTTCATAAGCACGATAGCAGAGTGCAAAAGATAAAAGTTTGAATTGTTCATTACTATTATGTAACCCTATACCAGCATAGTGTATACCTGAAGTAAAAAAATGTTCGCTACACACTTTTTCAAGAGTAGTTTTAAAATGATTTGTATATTTTCAGTTTGTCGTTTAAAACGCAAGATATGTAAGTGAACTAATAATTACCTGTAAATTTTTGAGTCCAAAAATCTACCGTTATAACAAAAGATTTAATTGTTCGGAAAAAAGTTAATAATTAAGATTTACGTTCTTCTTAGATTCGATCTACATGGCGACTCAACTAAGAAACAAAAAAAATCGAAATAGTTAGAACTAAATTTTATAATTTTACCGTTCCTAGATCTGTAATTAAATCAGATGTACTAAGTGTTGATGACGCAAGTAAATAGCGACTCACACCAAAAATACATTCCATCAAACTCTGAAAACCTATACCATTAACTGTCTCACATGGTCTTCCATCGAAAATAATGAATTAGTTACTTTATTTTTTAATTTGACAGGATAGAATTTTTTAACATGAATCAACATGCTTTTGCATACCACTAGTACCGGTAGCTGTTTTATGCGAAATAAGTGATTTACATGATACGCAAACAACGTAATCTTGTTTCATTTTTTGAAAATAAATAATATTGAAATGAAATCAAACTTTAGACACCTCCTCCTTCTTCATTGGTTTTTCAAACGCTAGAAGAATCATAACTTGAAATTAATTGTATCAAATTATCTTTGAAAAGTTTTTTTTCAATAACAACTGAGGTATTCATTGATCAGTATCGGCAGATATTTCGTTGTTTATGAATAATAATTTGTCTTTCTCTTCTCTCTACGTTGCATTGGTCAATATTTTCGACCGATAAAAACAATATATATTCAAAATTTCATGTGTATAACACTTATTGACATAGATGAGAAAAAGATAACGCACTAATACTATCAGTAGAATTTTCGTGACCATTTTGTAGATCACTACGGACCACACAAGACGTTTTACAGTACCCCCAATATCGTCAACTACACCCTTTTCATGAGAAGTTGCGAAAAAATGCCAATTCAAATTTATTGTTTGTTCATTACCAATTCGTGTTAAATTACGAAAATGAAAACGGTGTTTAAAATGAGAAACAGCACCATCTAAAAAACAACTTATATCTTTGAGACTTGGTAGAACAGTTCCGATGTGATTTTAAATGATTTTCAACGCAGAATCAACAACAAATACATCGTGTGTTACATCTAACGATGGTAGAGCAAAAGAAAAATTTTCACTTTTTGACCACACAAAGGCAGTAAATATATTCAATGGTTTCATGTTCCAATGAGCCTTTTGAATGTCGTCTTGTTCTTTCATATTAAAATTCTCTGCAAAATCGACTTACAACACTATTTTTTCAACACTCAATGCGACTGTATCGCTTAGTATATATGTGGAACAAAGAATATTTAATTTTTGACTTCAATAGGAAAACTAATTCATCATCACTTCCTGAAAAGTCTTTTTTTCCAGCATGACTATTTTTGTTTATCCACTGTGGCCAAATCAGTAGATGTTTGCAAAGTTGAACAGCATTTTGCTACCAACGTATTTATCAAGAGATTTTAATAATAAACAAATATTTTCATGATGCAAACACATACAATTCTTCTGTATCAAAGTAGTTTTTGAAATAGCAAAAAGTGGTCTTAAGCCAGCAAATGAAGATCGACATATATGAACGTTGACATTCTCTTCTTTAAATAATTAATGAATTTCATATAAGTTATTAAATAAAATTTGTTTTTGATAAGTTACTTTACTTCCATCTTCCTCTTTAATAATAATTGTGTCCCTTTTACCTGGTAATTGATATGAAATTTTACTTTATCAACAAGTTGAACTATAGTACGTTGGTGTTTGACTTTAGAAATCAAATCAAATGTTTCAGCAAGGTGCTGAATGACAACTTTTTTCTTTTCATCACATTTCATAAGTAAAAAATAAATTTTTTTCGATGTCTTACCAAATAATTGACGACTTTTGAATGACCTTGGAGATTGTTTATTAACTAAACATTTTTTCTCGATATTTTTCATTCTTTCAGCATTAGTCAAAATGATGGTAATAAGAAGAAACGAATACCTACCGTGATGAAAGAGATACAAAAGATATTTAGGAAGAGTACATAGAGAGGTCAAAAAGTCCTGCAACGTCACTTTATTTATTCACAGAAACAACGTTTCATCTACCTTTCTGCACCATATATTAGAGGTAGTTATTCTAATATTTTATGGAAAGTTTTAGTTTTCTAACACACTGTTAAGATGTTCTCTAACGCACACTATAGGTGTAAAATTGACATGCTTGGATAAAACCCCTGCTAACTTATTGAAGTTGGTAATTATTTAGTCTATTTTGAGTACTCCTGAACAACTAAGATTCTGGTGGTCTGTTCCGAGGTGAGTACGCTTGGTGAGTCGTAGCTTCGTCCCTTTCACTTTGAAGGAGATAATGACATTATTGTACATGTTGTTGAAAAAGCATGACAAAACTTGATATAATAGGAGCATGACAATGCTTTTTATTCGATAAATTTTTTATTTGTGAATTTAAACATTTCTCACTAATATAGATAGTATTAGTTACCACTATAGAAATCACCATATGATAGATAATGACTCAGATGTCATAAAAAGTTGATATACGCCTTAGTTTCTGACATCTTGAGGGTGTGGGTTGATGTGAGTGTGGATGTGGATATAAGCGTGAGTATGAATATTCTTCTTATCCACCAACACTCACACCCACAACCACACTCACAATAGAGAGGTTTTATCAGTGATTATATTTACTAGCGATATATTTTAATAATTCTTAGCTACTTGAAATAATTTATCAAGAACAATATTGACATGTTTTTCAGCAAAAATTAATGCGGGACGAAAGCGTACAGTTACCGTGCCACATCCTCCCATTTGAATACCTATGAATAAAAAATAATTTAATTAGAAATTTCACATTTCTTGTTCATATACCAGTATTCCTCATTTGAACCAGAAACTTATCGCGGATTGTTGTATTTGGCATATCAAACGCGCAAAATGTTCCACGTCCACGAACATTAAGAATTAATTGTGGATACTGCTCACTTAAATGTTTTAAGCCATTTAATAGAATATTGCCAGTCTTTCTCACATTTTCAAGTAAATTTTCTTGATTCACAGTTTTTAAAATAGCATCAAGTACTAACAATTTTGCTGTTTCTCCCATCCAAGTATTAAATATGCGGTAAGGCTATATAGAAAACTAAACCATTATTTATTTATCATTCAAGTGTATGAAACATACCTGTTTTGGTTGAAACTCGGCTTTAGCGAAATAACCAGCTGTTTGAAATTTTTTTGCGTATGTAACTATATCAGGTGAGTCAGGTAAACTAAAATGTTCGTGCGCCCAAAATTTTCCTGTTGCACCAAGACCTGTCTGCACTTCATCAATAACTAATGCTGCATTATTCTAAAAGATTATGTTTATTCATACAAAACAAATTTCCGATTTCTCTGAACCTGTTTAGTAATCTTTTGAAGTTTTTGAAAAAAACTGGGACTTCCATGAACATCACCGCCTTCACTTTGAATGGGTTCGACTAAAACACCAACTACTGGTTTCTGTTTTGATTCATATTCATGAAACAATTCTTCGATCTGTATAAGAAAAAGAAGCTTTTAGTAAGATTTCTGTGGAATTAATATGCAAAATGAAAGTGCAACTTCTTTTATGCTTCCGAATCTTGAAGGTGTGGGTGGGGTGCCATAATTTCACACACACACCCACCCACCCTCAATCCTTTTCATACCCATCCATTTTCAAATGAGCGCGTTGTTCACTCCGATACAATCACAAATGATTCTCAAAATGCTTACATGAGCTAGACATCGCTCATCTTCTTTTTGGTTTTCTCGTTCGTTTTCCTTCAATGGATATTTGTATCTTGGAAAAGATGCTATCGGCCAGTCAAAGCTTGGAAAATCAACTTTATGAATCGGCATAGAATGAGTACAAGACAGGACACCTGAAGAAAGAAAAGAAAAACTTTTGGAATATGTTATTATTTCCTGTATTACCAAGTGTTCGTCCGTGAAATCCTCCTTTAAATGACATTATTGAAACAGTTGGACACCCTGGTGCTTTATTATACATTGATGATTTCAGATCTTCTGTGCTAAATGGTTTTCCATCACGCTTCTTATTTGCATGCCAAGCAAAAATTGCTTTGAGCGCATTTTCATTTGCACATGAGCCACACATCATTGGTTGAACATATCGAAGACCTGTAGGTGCAATCTACAAATACGGAGATTTATACTTTCAAAAAAAAGAGACAAATATTACTGGAAGAAGTGTGCACTCTATTTGCTTAATAAATTCAGGTGTTGGATGAGCTCCAAGTGCCGGTCGATTGACCAATAGACTCTGATAT